GGGATGCTGCTTTTGAATGTTGGCTTGTTACACACAGATCTCATGAAGGTCAATCAATCGTAACTGGAACTTAAATGAAATGTAGAAAAACCAAAGAATAATCCACTGGACTGGAACACATGTCCGTTTTCCAATGTCTGCAAATCTTTTTATACTGTACATAAAAATACTAGGAGATTTGAATCACACAGTGTCTATTTAACCTAAAGTGTCTATAGTGTTCTTGGAAAAGTGGTTTTAGGTTAAAGCAGGAAACTGACAACATCTGTTTTTGAACCTAGAGTTTAGGAGCAATCTGCCATATGGCAACTCTGAAGCTATACGTGGCCTATGTGAATCTGCCAACAACACAATCAATTTTGACATTGAGGCTCGATATTTTATTAAACATTAAATCAATTTCAGATGTACCATTACAGTGGTGATATGAATAGAAATAGAAAGAAAACATGGCAAACCTACAACGTTGTGCTCCCAACGGTCAGAGTGAGAATGTCTAATGTAATTGATCAAATTTTTCTTTCAATCTCCCTTTTGACGCTAGCTAGTTTAAAAGCAGGCTTAATAGTCTTAGGCCCACAAAGAGAACACCACACTACACAAAAAGGCAGCACATATCAGCTGAGTAGTAAAGTAAAGACGACTCATATCGTCTGTACCTGGTTCTAACTATTTGCAGTACCTGCTTAGGTTAGATCAAATATCCCAGGCTAACATTAGCTTAGCTGTTAGCAGGGGAGATGGACAGCTATTTTAGATGGACATAAATATCAGCTAAGAATCATAAGGGAGTTAACAAAACCCAAACATTTGTTATCCTTTCGGCAGCTATGGAGGTTTACCTAGCATGCGAAATCAATTGCAACAACATAATTTTGGAAGTGACCGCCCTACAAACAAAGAACTGATGTACAATATGTAATTATGAACCTAAGACTTCGCACTATGCAACCTTCAAGCAGTACACTTTTACAGAGGATTGTGCATTAGACCCTTTGTCATGAGATGTAGCCTTTCACTGCACCTGTGTACAGACTCTGATCTCCGGTCGTAGCAGCACTTGTTTTACTCAGCTCACCTGCAGCTACTTCCAGCAGCTCTTCAGCTTTCAGCCTGGGATAAAGGAAGTGATTGTAAATTACACTTGCCGACTTGAATCATTTCCTACCCGTTGTTTTTACTGTTGCCAACTCAGCAGATGATCGCATAAAAACTTATTTTAAGTGACATGAAGAAGAAGGTGAAGACTCATTTGTAGTGGCTGTCAAACACAGGTACGGCTCATAACCTCCATTAGCCTCTGGTAAAGTGTTGGCTGATTTACTGTCAAAGCCATCGTTACTGTGTTTAGTTACAGCAGTGCTCCTGCCTGGAGTCACAGTAATGAAAGAAAGTAGGAATTTGTCTTTAACAGTTTTGTTCCTATATCTTCGATGTGAATATTCTGAGGGCATTTTCCAGAAGCATCTTTAAGAAATGTTGGGACAATGTTTTAGCATTTTTTTAAATTAGTTTTTTAATCAAACTTGGCTTTACTTGTGCTCTCTTTCTTAAATAAAAAAAAGCCAATAAATACCTTACAAATACTATAGAAAATGTTTGGTTACAAATTGGTTTGGTTTTCTTACACATTATTGTTATTTTCTAACCTATTTTTGTTCAGATTTTCTTTAAAAGTTTAAGCATTTCCCAGCAAATGTTGACTTACATTGGGCTTAGGTGTAGCTCACTTAGTCTGCAAGTTATTTGTTAGAAAAGAAGACAATCTACCAACATTATCTCTGACCGCACAATGATAATATAGGCTAGAATTGTTTGGGAAAAATCAATAAACCAGCAGAAACTAAAATGAGATTTCAAGGAGGATCAGGGCCATGAGTTGATTAGGGAGTGATTTAGTTGTTTAGGGAGTGATTGTAAAATATTGAAGATCTATGTTGGAAAATTAAATGCTGTGCTAAACAGATAGGAAAGGTCACGATGGATTTGAAGGGCTTTGCTATTGACTGGTGCAATTATTTTTCTATCTAGGTCTGCTTTGATGACCAATCCACTAAAGACCCTGTGGGACTGACGCCACACTTATTGACATAATGAGGCTAAAGACTTAGAGATTACAGTATGGCTTTTTTTTTCATCTGGGACATTACAAGACTGGTCATGTGCAGGTGGTTGAGCACTGACATTCTCAATACATATGCTTTGTCTCCACAGCCTTATCTCAGTATCCTTAAACCTGGGGCCCACTGAGCTACTGCCACGCTAGGCCGAGTGGTCAGGTGCTGAGACTCTGGCCATTCCTTTGGAGCAGTCATGCCATGAGACTGTGATTTCATTATTAAACAGCCGACTCGCTGTTTCTTTACGTGCAAGACTGATTCTAAAGTCAATGAGGGACCGATTTTGAAATAAGCAAATCATAATAAGCCATCTCACTCTGGCTAAAATCAAGTTATCTTCCGATGAGTAACATTGAATGTCTCGTGTAGTTTCCTCTTTGACAGACAGTATGTGCAAATCCATCAATTTAGCTGCATGCTTCTCCTGAACGGAGGCACTCTCACTTCATTTACCACCTTTCAGCTTTCAAATCAATATACAGTTTTCTTCCAATCCCTGTTTCTCACTTCGTCTGAGAGAGCGTATTGGTCTTTTCCCCATTTTATTCTTGACAACTTTAAGTAGCTGTTCCTGTTCTTCCCACCTCAGCTAACCTGGTTAAGGGAAAGGCCTCTTGTGTATGAGCTCTGGAGAAATCAATAACTGGAGTGAAGCCAGCAGGGGTCAGGCAGGTCAATGCAAAACCTCTTATTCTAATCCCAACATGAAATGTTGGCCTAAACAACTTGTGTTTTCCATTAAACTCCTAAAAAATGCCTCTCCATGACCTCACTCCAAGCACTGTAAAAGAGAGGGAGAGGATTTCAGTCCAAATTTTATTAATGAGACAAATAAAAGCTGATTTTTTTTCACTCCATGTGGCTTTTTTTAATCTGCTCATTTTGCCATTTATTCAAAGCAGATTAGCCTAAATTGAAGCCGTGGTAGAATATCTGAATAGAAAGATGAAAGGAAATGTTGCCTCCTAATGGATAAGCATTGTGAGTTAGAAAGGATCCCACGGTGTTTCTCAATACTATCAAATACATGATGGAAAATACGACTAATTTTTCCTCAACTGAGCAATAACTCTATGGGTAATTGTGCATATATTTATGTAACCCCTTGGTAGGTTCAAGTAGAGTTTATAGGGTCTTGTGTCGATACTTAGAAAAAAAATGAATACGAGCAGAAAAAAGGAAGTGATCGCCAACTCCACGTTTGTTGCTCATAATGTTATGTTGTATTTGCTTTTCCAAGTAAAAACAGGAGTAACAAACATTATCTGCTCCCAGTTGCGGGCCCTCTCCAACAAAAGGTCCTAGCCTTTACGAAATTCCAACTTGATCAGAATTTATTGGAAGAAATAAAAACTGCTTTCGCTTAATCTTGGCACAAATGCACCATTAAATCAGATTTAAGCAGTAATGGACTTCAGAAAGGATCATGTCAAAAAGAAATGTGACAAATGGGAAAACAAAGGAAGGAGCACTTTGGGTCTTTATTCTTGATCACTTTCACTGATTTCCCTTTCTGTACTTTCTAACACTGACGGGTCTGATGTCCACACATCAACAGGTCAAGCATGTTATCGTTTGACCTTGTCATTTCCAGTCCACTAAAAATGCAGCACATCTTGAAGCAACTGAAACAAATTATTCTTTTGGCTCTGATGAGGATCACATGGTTTCTGGCTTTGAGTGTAATTTATGCAAAGCTACTTTTATTCTGAGTTTTCATTTTTATTATACTGAGTCACCAACCAAATGTCTTCTCTATTTTGCTCCAAGCCTATATAAATGCAGCCAACCAGGGTCTAACACTCTGTTTGAACTTCCCTGCCTGATAGTTGCAGCTGGGAAAAAGGTGTTGCGTGACATAGGACCTAATGGTGATAAGGCTATAGAGTTAATGCTCTTAGACGATGTAAACAGTTACTACGTACCAACTCAATATATGCCTTTAAGCTGATTAGCAGTCACACTGCTGGCATTGGCCAACAATAGTGAAAGGACTTATGAGAAAAGCTGCCTGTGCTTCATATTTCAGAGTCAATTCAAACTAGGTTGGAACTACTAATTCACAGATACAATAATGGAGATTATCTTTTCACAAAGGGATATGGTCATATAGTCACATGAACTCAACATTAAAAAAAAAAAAAATCAGATATGGTACAAGCTATTTCTTTAGTATCAAACACTGTTAAGAGTGGTTCCCAAAGTGGAGAGTCAACCTTAAATAAAGATGAACTTGAAAGACTGGAGAACAAGACTGGGTCTAGATTTTTGTCAGACTTAAGAAGTTGCTTCAACGTATGTTAATGTTAACCTTCACTTTTGCTGATTGAGTTTTTCATCCATTACAGCGTAGCGTTGCCTAAAATCACAGCGAGTTTGAATGTGTCATATTTGAACATATTCATGCCAACCAGGCTGTGTTGTTTCTGGCCGTGCTGCATGTAAATTTAGAGACATATTGTATGCCAGTGTAATAGTGTGATCTATAATTATACACAAGTGTGGTTTAGAACTGCAGGCAGCTATCAAAAACATTCCTGAGATTGCTTTATAAAATGTCAGGCAGTATTTATTTTTACTTTATGAAAGGCAGTTATAAAAAAAAACAAAACAAAACCAAATACTCTCGCTCATGGATATAATCACAAAGACTAGGATGTCAGACTTAATATCTGAAATTCCGCTGAGATTTAAAATGCATCCGTAGGTTGCTGTGGCAGCAATCCAGTCCTTGGAAAACTTTAGAGAGAATTTAAAAATAGCTCTCCGAAAGAAAACAACTTCAGGTGCTCTGGATCGCTGACAACAAGTTGTGGCCTTGACCAAAAACCTTTGAATTGGATGTTTTAACTTAACCAAATTTTTTCCTTCTTTTGACAGAAAAAGAATATGAGCGTTCTGCTGAGTCTCGGTATCTTGGCTTCCTGGGGAGTGTTCCTGCTGCTGGCTCGTCTTTACTGGATGGGGAACAAACCTCCCAACTTCTCCAACTCTGACAACCCTGCGGCTGACTCACCACTTTTCCTCACCAGAACACTGACATTCTTCTACCTGCCCGCTGCCAACGCCTGGCTTCTGCTGTGTCCAGACCAGCTCAGTTTTGATTGGTCCATGGATGCGGTGCCCTTGGTTAAATCTTTGGCTGACTGGAGGAACCTTCACAGTGTTGCCTTCTACGGTGGTTTTATATTTCTGTCTTTGTTTGGCCTTCGCGGTCCCACCTTAAAAGCCAGGGAGACCAATGGAAAAGCTCACATCACTAATGGGAAATCAATCACTAACGGGAACGGTTACCATGCCCCTGACGCAAACCACAATACAGAGCAGGGGCCACCAAAGACCACCCTGAATGGGTCTGCAGGATCTCACCACTGTCCCCCACAGAGGTCCTTGCCCCCCACAGAGAACCTAGTACTGTTCTCATTAAGTATCCTGTCGTTGCCTTTTATTCCAGCCACCAATTTGTTCTTTTACGTAGGCTTTGTGATTGCAGAGAGGGTGCTGTACATTCCCAGTATGGGCCTTTGTTTATTGGTCACTGCTGGAGTGAGAACTTTATATGTTAGACTGAGGACTAGAGGCTGCAGACCTTTTCTGTTGTCTCTCTATTTTGGACTCATCATTTTGAATGGACTCAGAACTGTTCAAAGAAACAGAGACTGGAGCAATGAGGAGAATCTCTACAAGTCTGGAATCAGTGTAAATCCTGCTAAAGGTGAGAGAATGTGAATTTTACTGTAAAGTGGCATCTGGCCAGTTGTGCAACATACTTTACAAACAGTAATGTGTTAATATTTAGAGGCTCTGGTTTGGCTTCTTTGTTTCCTATCAAAGGACCTGGATTATACACATGCGAAACCATTGTTTGTCAGATCTGGGCCACAAACACTACCATCATCAGTTGGACCTTATCTATACTACTAATTGCTGAGAACACTGTATATTTGCAAGAAAAATCTGGATTCAGAGCTGCCGTCATGTGAAATGGGCCACGTTTTCCATTTCACATGTCAGCAGTCTCACCAGATAATAATTACCAACGTGTCAGACTATTAAACACTAACTAAAACACGTTCGGACTCGTCTGCCTTCCATCTCAAACAGCTTTGACACGTTAAAGCTTGTTCGTCTTAAATAGAAACACCTCTTGAAAAAGTGTAAGGATGGTGGAAGTGGAAATAAAAGATAATTCATGCTTTAAAATTAGTGCTAAAATTCTGTTTCACCTCTAAATGTCTTACTTTTGATTGACATCCCCTACAGCCTGGGGAAACTTAGGAAACGTGCTGAAGAACCAGGGCAAGATGGCGCAGGCGGAGAACGCGTACAGGAACGCTCTGCACTACAGAGGGAACATGGCTGACATGCTGTACAACCTGTGAGTGCACTAAGATGCCAGGTTCCATTTAATTGTCCTTGACATTCAAAAAGCTCTTCCATTCCTGCCATCCATCACAGTGGCAGACAACGAGAAGCAAAAATAAAGATAGTAGACAGCTGAAGATGAAAAAAAAAACAAAAAAAGTGACAGTGAAAAAAACCCCAGAGATGACAGAACAGAAATAGATCCAATACAGGAGGAGAGAGGGAAGAGGTGAGGCACAAAGCTTCTTCTAATCCTGCTATGCAAGGTGTCAGAAACTCAGAGCAAAAACGCAGTCATCCTGGCTCTGTTTATATTCTATTTCTTCTCAAGTTACACTGTCAGGACACTGACAAAGCAACAAGAGAAAGGTGTAGATGAAGACGGATTGATGTGTGTATTTTAGTTTTGCGGTGGCATTTTTGGCAACATAAAAACCCCAGAAATTTTGTTTTTCTTTTATATTTTTTTATGTTATGTTTTATGTTCTTTTCACATTGTAATTTTGGTCAACTGTCGCTTCAAACCTTTGAGAATTTAAAACAGTAATGCAAATACTGTGTAACTGTTGTTGTTGCTCATGGTTTCGTTTCTTCTGTATTTGTGTTTCAGTGGATTGCTGCTGCAGGAGAACGGACGTTCCGCTGAAGCACTGCATTATTACAAACTGGCCATCGGCAGTCGTCCAACACTGGCATGTGAGTAAGGTCTTAAAATTAGTTTGTTTTGGTAGATTTTTACTGTGTGTCTGCCTGGAATGATAGCTTTCAGCTGACAATCTGTTGTTTGATAATGTATTATTTTGCTTTGTGAGCTACAGTTTATCCTCACTGCTTGACAGGCGAGTGATGACACTCAATCTCACGCTTGACTGCTTGCATGTGTGATTAGGGTTTATTGTGTGCTTTCCACGGACAGTTGCAGGAGGATGGAAGATTGAGCACAATTTAAAAATGCCTTAAAATTATCTCTTTTTTTTTCTATTTTACGTCTCGCACTGAGTTGTTTGCTTAAACGATGAAGGGGAAAAAAAATGAAGTCTGTCGGTTCTCAGGTCATTTTATCCTAAGCGTTACAGAAGCATGCAACAGGACTGGATTGGTTTCCTAAAGACGTATCGAGAATGAGCTTTTTGTTCTCTACATTTAATACTAAAATAAAAACAAAGGATCCAAAAAGTTTATCATTAGAAAAATCAATGTTTCCATCTGGCAAAAAAAAAAAAAAAAAAAAAACTTTTGGGGAATACAATAATCTTAAACGTTTAATGCATTAAAAAAGTATGTTGAAAAGGAATGAATTATTGATCACATAGGGAAAACTGTATTTTAAAATCACGTAACTAATTAATTAACAAAAATCCTCAAAGAAATATCACGGCAATAAGAGAAATATTGCATTTATATCGATTAAACCACCCTTAAAATTCGTACCGCCGTCTCAGGCATTTCTTCTAATCCTAAAGCCTTTAATATTTAACTCCCCGTATATTGATGATTTATCAAGCTCGTCTTCTACTTTTCTCCGTCTCACAGCGGCTTACTTAAACACAGGAATCATCCTGATGAACCAAGGAAACCTGGAGGAGGCCAAACGCACTTTCCTGGTTTGTGCCGAGATTCCAGACGAGAATCTGAAGGACCCACACACGCACAAGAGCTCAGTCACCAGCTGCCTGTACAACCTGGGGAAGCTGCTGCACGAACAGGGCCAACAGGAGGTTAGTGAAGGTCACCTCTTACAGTTAAGGAATCTCCCCAGACAACAACTGGGATGCATTTGGCCACAAGAGGGGGCCCATCTGCTCAGTGTGGGGCCCACAGATTTGCTAATATGTGGGTAAAAGGCAACTTAGTCACCATATGTTACACAGTTTGTCCTAATGTGAATGTTAAACATGACTTTTTCTTGTTTCACCTCAGGAGGCCTTGTCTGTTTATAAGGAAGCAGTGCAGAAAATGCCCAGACAGTTTGCGCCACACAGCTTATTTAACATGATGGGTAAGTTACTGATTTCTGCAATTTGCCCATTTAAACAAAATATACTGTACAGAGAATTTGAAAGGAAAATATGGAGGTTCTGAAATGAGTTTGTATTTTCATGGGGTAAATGTCAAAATAAGATGAAGAGAAGTTCAATAAGGAAGCAAAAACACTGAAGGAGGAGCATACCCAGGGGTCTCCTAGAGAAAAATAAATGTTTTGTTTGTCTGCCCTGATGTAATTCTTTCTTTTACTGAAAGTGAAAGAACACCGACGACCTTTAGCAGGTGAATTCTAAATCCATTTGTTTTGGTTCTCTGAGAGAAACACGTTTCTGAATAGAGTCTCTCAGTGGGATCTGTGCCAACCTTGTCCTCTATGAAAGTGCAAACGGTTATTACTTACAGCTGCAGCCTCCAAATTAGTCATGGTTTGAGTGTCCCATCTCTCTGTTTTAGATGTTATTACTGCTTAAATCTAGGGTTTGGTTCTATTCAAACAAACTAACATTGGCCTTTAGACGTCTTCAGCCACCTGTGGACTTTTAAAATAATCTCGGTATGGACTTCCTTTTTTAAGTCGAGAAGACAAATGGAGCTAATCTGTGTAATAAACCACGTCAGTCCGCTTGTTATTATAACACTAATTACATTACTGGAAGCTCTTCCTGACGACATACTTGAGCATTAAGGGGAATTGTCTGCATGAGTTCCTGAGAGCAGCCTTTAGAGCGTGTTTAGTTGAACAGAAGAGGAGAGGTTGGATAACGGCTGTGTTTATATTCCTGTGTTGACAATGGGATACCTTGTTAAATATCTGGTTATTCTATCCCAGGGGCAAACAGCATGTTGTTAGATCAAACAAAAATGGCATTTAAAGTTATTCTTACTGAGAAAACGGCAAACTGTTTGCCACCGGGGTTCTACTGAGAAAGGTTTTACTTATGGGTAAAAGATGAAAGAACTTTATTTGCCCATGTTTTACTTTACTATTAAAAATGTGTCAAGGCCCTGGTGAGAAAATATATATGATAAAAACTAAATATGATTCAGTTTACCCGTGAATGCGCAGTTTGAGATGCTAAAGTTCAAATGCTACATTAGCCAAAGAATAAATACGACAGAGAACTGGACAAAAAAGAAAAGATGAGGCACGAAAGAATTAAAATACAAAGGTTTACAAAGAGAAAAAGACAGAACACACTAGAATGTAACAACAGCTTGGCAAGTTTTAGCTTAAAAAAGGACTACAGAAACTACAGGGACAGAAATGGAACGGACAAAACGGTCCGTAAACAGCAAAAAGAGACAGAAGTCATCAGAGATTCTAGGTATTTCACAGCAGTGTGCACGGCCATTGGATTGATGTTCTGATGGATGACTGTTTCCAGGAGAGGCCTACATGAGGCTGAATCGTTTGGAGGAAGCAGCCCACTGGTACAGAGAGTCTCTAGGGGCCAAGCCTGACCACATCCCTGCCCACCTCACTTATGGCAAGCTCCTGTCCATCACTGTGAGTCCAATAACATTCAAACACCACACATATCCACCTACACACACACACACCACAGGAAGAACGTGGTGACAGGACAAAGCGTCATTAAAGTAATGGTTTCAGCGGTTTTCAGTCTGTCCTGGTGTAATTAAAAGGACCTGAAGTGGCAGAGGGATGAATAATGCAAGACCGAGTGACTTATGGACCAGTGGGTTCATCGAGGCCAGGCCGTCCTGCAGCCTGGAGGAGTGTGATAATTGTTATGAGGTGTGAGCGTATTACCCTAACAGTCTGTTAAAGGTGTTTGTGAACATCAAGCAGAAGATGTTTCCTTTGGAAAGTCTTTAAAGAGAGGAGGTTCAGACCAAAGCGGTGCATTCAAGAGCATTTACTGCGACCCTGGGTTAAGACTGTTCAAGGACTGGAGCCAACATTTTCAAAAAACACTTTGTTGGAGCTTTATTAAAGCTGAAGGTCAGAGACACAGGGAGTTGTGGTGAATAGGCTGAGTTCCAGGGATTTTTTATTTTTGGCCCTTACTGTGTTTTTACTCAACACTTTTTTATTGCATGTCTGAAAAAAAAGAAAATCTAGAAAATCATTACTATTCAAAACTACACTCCTAATTTTAAAACCAAATTTTTGAAAGTTTAAAAGTAGACAACTGGACCGGCTCACTTTCTCCTTCACCTCTGAACCAAAGGTCATTTTTAATTCCTCTGTTCTGCCTGGAACTGGAGAACTTGAGACGGTATATTTTAAGAACCAGCTGCTTTGTACAACAAACACTCAGTGTGTTTATTTACTGTTTGTTAGAGCAACAAATGTGACTGTGACTGTGGAGCTAACTGAAAAACTGCCCATGCGTGAAAATACATTAACTGATGACATACTGATATTGATCAGATCATTATATTAATTGATTCAATTAGCATGTTAATTTGACAACCCTAGAAGAAAACTACCTGGAAGTGAACCTCGAATCAAAATCAGGAGTTGGTTCTAACAATGTAATATCTATTGTTTGATTAACAATTTTAATTCGATCCAAGAGTGGACAAAGAGGACTTGAAGAATCTATAAACAAGGGACTATCGACTGCTTCTTGAGAACACAATATAAATATCCAATATCAAAGAAATGTATCTATCCCTACAGTTTGTACAGTTTGAATTTCCATCATAGTGATATATGTACAGAAATGCAGAGAAGGACACCGAGGAAAAAGAAGCTTCTCAGCAATGGATTCTTCTTTTAGTTCAACACCAGCCCCAAAATCAGTGCAAATGCCACTGCACACACAGACTGAGGACAACAACTGTGGACCACACTGAGAGGGTTCACACACTAAGTGCAAGTGTATGAAAAGTATTATTATATTTCTACCCGTGTTCTATAAAAACTATTTCTGGGACTGAACACATCGGCTGAACCATTCAGCTACTTCCAATTTCTGAACACATCGGCTGAACCATTCAGCTTCTTCCAATTCAGAAAAATAAAACTCCTCACACTTTCTCTCCTTTCATCACACATAAACCAGAACCACATTTATGTGACAACACGTGTGTTCACAGCTGAGTCCAGTTTAGATGTGGTAGCTGAACTGTGTGGCCTCCGTGACCTCTCTGGAGATAGTCGACCTCTTTTCTTTTCACAGCCTGGGGAAGGAATGCACTTCCATCAACCTGCTGCACATTTTTTCTAAGGCAGCAGTCCGTACACACTGGTTGACAGATTTGAGCACAAACAGAGGTAGATGCTTCTGAAGGAACAGGGTCACGGTCAGTAGAACCGGACATCTGCTGTTCTCCTTTAGAATTCAGCTTCACACATGCAGGGTCCTGACTCACAAACAGGTCAGCGTCTCTCTTTAATACGAGGTCTGGGCCTCTGACAATAAACCAGTGCACAAGGTTAAAATGGAATTACTCGGCTTCCTTATTGAATCACTCACCTTTGATAATATCTGTCAGCGCTGCTGGACTCAAACAACTACACAGACATTGGGAAGTGAAGATAAACCAGAGCCTTGTACTGTGGCAAACCTCAACGTGTGCTGTAGAGTGATTTGTTACTGCGTTCAACATCACAACTTTTAAAGTCAGTCAATGGTCGCTAAAGGCTAGGCACAATAAAATGTTGTAAGACTAGCTGAAAGTTGTACTGTGGCAAACCTCAACGTGTGCTGCAGAGTGATTTGTTACTGCGTCAGTCAATGGTCGCTAAAGGCTAGCCACAATAAAATTTTGTAAGACTAGCTGAAAGTTAGCCCTAAGGTTTAGCTTTCATAAAAAGTGCAAGGCATGGTTTAGCAGTGTGGTCGCACACCTGCAAACATAAGACTTAAATGTCCGTATACTTAAGCTGGTCAAGCCACAAGCCGTAATACTGTCAAGTCTCGTTAAGGGTACAGCTCTGAAGGCTAACGTATAAGTGGTGTTCTGGCCAACAGTTGTTGCGCAGATGACAGCCCACTTACACTTGCTGACTAAACCAATTCACAAACAGTGAAGGAAATGAAAACTGCCAAGATTTGACCTTTTCAACCTGCGATCTGTGCCTGGCACTTAGCTAACTTTTCCCAAAATAGAGGCAAGATAGCCAAAACAGCATTAGGTTAGGCTTTTTTTGGCTAATCAATTCAGCTAAATTTATGACAGAAATCGATGGTAATCAGTTGGCTTGCATTGTACAATTTGCTAAGTGAACCAAATATTTTAAAGCCTTATATTAAAAAAAATACATAAAGCAAGCCATGATTTGACTAAAATAACCAAATATAACCAAACCCACAAAAGCAAACCTAATGAACTGGTTAACCTAAAAAGAGTTCAAAAACACCTTTACACTGACCTGTCTAACTGAACGGAACATGTCTTTATTTCAGATGGTAGACAATAAAGAGAGCTCATTAAATCCTAAAGCGAAAAAGAGCCAAAGAAAATGTAAAGTAAGGCAGAACATACGCTCGCTCGTTTGCAGTGATTGAGGGCCACGGGAAAAAGGTAATCAAGCTAATGTGCCCAATCGACTCATTTCTGGTTGCATGGCAGGTCCAGAGTGAATGTGGAAATGATCAGTGCTGAAACATTAAAATAAAAGATGTGGAGAAACGTGAGCAGCAGCAGCATGGATATCTGAGAAACACCAGGGATTCTTTGGACTACGTTCCTGTGGTGTGTTTTTTAAGTCGGAGAGATCACTTCACATAGCCAAACGTTGCTACTGAGCTATTTTACTTTATTGACAAAAAATAACAAACAAAATTCATATATTAAATTTGCTTGTGTTTAAGTTTTTTTTCACCTTTTTGGATCCAGGGTCAGACACATGAAGCAGAGAAGTATTTCCTCAGAGCTATTCATCTGGACCCTACTAAAGGAACCTGCTACATGCACTACGGTAAGACACCTATATGTTTGACAATATTCCAAATGTCTCCTATTAGAAATAAGACAACTACAAAAATAGACAGAAATTTTATGGCCAAATAGCTCAAGGTTAGCCATAAGTATAAGTTAAAGTACGGAGTTAATAGTTTCCACTTAGACAGTAAAGGACACAATGAAGCATTAGCCTTCATTTCTCCACTTTGAACACATTCATCTTAAACATTTAGGAGTCAGACAGCTGCAGTCAACATACAGTAAAGTAACATTCATCATTTAACCCGATAAGGACTGTATTAAAGGTGCTAATCGTCAAGGAGTGTCGGCTCCCCCGCGATCTATCACGTTTCTGAAGAGCGATGGTGTTAATACTATTCAAATTTACATTTCAGAGCTATCAGCCGTATGAGGCTTCGCAGACGGCACCAACACACATACAAAGAGACATGTACCAGCGGTTGTTTATCTAGGAGAAGAGACAGGATCAGTAAACACTGTTTATTATTCCAAACACAGTGAAACCTGATAAGACCATCTTAAAATGCTGCTCCTAATGCTGCCGCTCTTATCGGCGTGAAGGGGCTTGTTGCAGCTCAGTGCCTTTATCTCCAAACAATTTCATAGGAAACTGAATCTGCCTCGTCACATTAAAGACATCTTTGTGTTTGGTCTCTTCCATATGGCCCCCCGTTCCTCTTGGTGCTTTCTCAGCACCAAATATCCTGGTGTTTTCGGAGTCCAGTCTGGTAGCTGGTGAGGTTTGTGTTGCTGTCTTTGGATCCAGCCACTTCCCCCCTTCTTACGGTGTTCCGCTTTATCTCTGCCTTTTCCTTTAACTGCTGTTATCTTGTAGCTTCTCTGTGAAGGCGATGTTTATTTGGTCTGGTTCACTCCTTTAAATCCCAGCCTGACTGGATGAGCTCCAGGTGTGTGTCTAGGGACTGATGATAATCTTGTGGATTTAAGAATCCAGTGGATGCTGACACACAGAATCACGTGAAGCGTGAGGAAGTGAGGGCGCAGAGGGGGTGATAGTGGAGGCGAGCCTCTATTTCCTCCTATTGTTTACTTTATCACTAATTAATACAAATCCTGCCATGTGTAGATGATATCAAACATCTGCAAAACCCTGCTTGGCTGTGAAACAAGATAAAAATAGAGGTTCTATATATATCTTATGATATGACAGAGACTTATCTTATAAGGAGGGCAATTAAAAGAAATAGAAAACCCAGAGTGGTAAACACCAACGCAAGACTATGAGGGTGACTTTTCTTCATTAACCTTATAGATACCTAGCATTAAACCATGTAACTCTAACAAACCCCACAGTTCAGCTAATGTATGTGTGTGTATACAGAGCTAAAATACAAACGTAACTTCTACATTTTTTTTTTTTTTTTTTTGTGTATTTTAAATTTTTACGCATTTAGCAGCCGCTTTTAGAAGAAAAGTATGAAGAAAATGCCATAGCAAAACAGCTAAAAGTTAGCCAAAAATAGGCCTGGCTAACAGAAAGGCCAGGATAGCAAAACATTTGCCAAAATACCTAATCATTTTATCACAGCGATAATAAAACTCTTAAGACATGTAACATCTGTACAGTTCAGATGAAATCGCAGTGACATTTTTAACAGAGAATAATGATAAAAAAAATTTTAAAAAAACAACCACAACTTAGAAGCTGAAGATTGGGAGAAAAAATTGGATTAACAGCCAGAAGACTTATTTCTCTTATAAAAATCTCCAGATGTCTGCTCAGAAGCACAACATTTATATGCATCAGCCTCACAACTCAAAGCATTCAAGAAAAAAAAAAAACAATGGCTTCAACGGGACATTTAAAGGACAGCGGTCTGAAAATAACATAAACCTAAACTATGGAGTACTGGGCCTCTCATCCACGATGGGCCTTTGCTCGTCTCAGATGCAGCACGCAAGCAGCCGACATCCAACAGACACACACATCACACACTCCTCTCCTCCCACGTTCGCTAACATCTGTGCCTCAGCTGCTAATTTATTACCACTGAGGCAGGCACTTGTGGGTGCCACACCAGGTGGCCGCGATCCCACGGAAGAACGTGTGGAGATCCTCCGCCTCAGCGCTCGGCAAGCAAAACAACAACCTTTCATTTCTTTTGCCATTGTTTCAGTTTGAGACTCAACGACATAAATTCAGCTTTTGTTTTTGTTTGTCCATCTGTCTTCATCCGTCTTCACCTATCATTACTTCACTCTCTGTTTATTGTTACTGTCACTCGCTTTGCTGTAACACGACAGGACCGTTTGCATCAGTGTGATGTATTCTGAAAGGATAGCATTAGTACACTCTTCTCATTCAATATACTTTTTTTTTGTTACAGTGATGTAGTAACCAGGGGTGGAGGGTTAATATTTCCCTCGAGGAACATATGATATCAGAACGCCTTTAGGCTAATACAGTGAACAGCAGGATTTTGTTTTTGTTTGTATTATAAACTTGTTTCCTTTGTCCTTAAAGTAAGAAAATCTATATTTTGTACAGTCTATCTATATATACTGTGTGTGTATATATATATATATATATATATATATATATATATAT